AATTTTTTTTTCTTCGATTAATTAATTAACTTACATATTTATTTACATATTCGTTTACTTACTTACTTTTTAATTAATTAATTAATTAATTTAATTTTTAAAATTTTTTACTTGTGTATATGTGGGTATGGGGGAGTCGCACTTGGTGTGGGGATGGGCGATAGGAGTCAGAAGGAAATGGAGGAATAGGAGTTGGGAGGGAGTGAGGGGATCTGAGTTGGGAGGGAATGAGGTGATAAGAGTTGGGAGGGAATGGGGTGATAAGAATTGGGAGGGAATGGGGCGATAAAAGTTGGGAGGGAAAGGGGAGATGGGAGTTGGGAGGGAATGGGGTAACGAGAGTTGGAATAGCAAAGGGTAGATAGGATTGGGGAGGGGGGGAGGGGGTGAGAGTTGGGAGGGAATGGGGAGAAGGGATTTAGGAGGGAATGGGGAGATGGGAGTTGGAATGGGGGGGGGGGGGGGGGGTGGCTGCGAGGTTGTGTCTATAACCTGCGTATAGTTTTTATTTCATATCCAGAACATTTTTGGTAAACTTCCAGCCTTTCATGGTCACTGCTTTGAAGGGTCATGTGATCTGAATTAACTTTTCCTGTGTATTTGTCTTTTGAAATTTTGGGGTTCTATTTAGTTTTGGTAATGAACTACTAAACGACTTTAAAATTGAAAAACTTATAATTTGATGCTAACTTTCCAAGTGGGGGTGGGGGCAGACTTAAGTCATTTATTTTTAGTTTTTGGAATAGCTGGCGTAGTGCATGTTTTATGTGGGTGGTTAGCGAGTGTTCTGGTGTGGTTTGCTTCTTCTTTCCTTTCAAACATCTATCGTCCTTATCTCCCCTTCTTCTTTTTTATGTTTGCTACTCTCTTGTAACTCCTCTAATGTTCTGGCACTCATAAGACCTTATGCAGTTGCGAGCGCCGTAAAACCCCTACTAAAACTAGCATATTTTATTTGATCTTTTTTCATTGTACACTCTTGTAAGTGAGTCGCTGGTGAGTGCTCTGGTGTGATTTGCTCTTTCTTTCCTGTCATATCTGTTGTATGTCCGTATCTCTCCTAAGCCCCCGGGGCGGTGCTACTGACTGAAGTGTCTTTAGGCCATTCCCAAAGCAGTGACATTAACATGTTTTTATGCACAGTAGAAATGTAAATGGGCTGATTCATCAATGTCATGCTCATGACTGTGCCTGAACTGCAACAGGGAACTGCTGCTTTTTCTTTCCTGATCCTTACTATCGTGATTTTTAGTCTACTTCTTTTGTATGTTTGTCACACTCTTGTGACCTGCTATTTCTGGGGTGCCTTGATAGTACAAACAGACTTCGTGCTGTTGAAGCTAGAAAGGTGAGCAGAGTAAGTCTGATTCTCTGTAAGGATTTTTCTGTTGACACACTCCCCTTGGCGCTCATATGACCTTATGCAGTTGCGAGCGCCGTAAAACCTCTATTAAAACAAACATATATCTCCCCTTTCTTTTCTTTTGTATTTGACTCTCTAGTAACACATCTAATCTTCAGCTCTATTATTTGACCCAATTGTGTTGTGACTGCACTAAAACTCTTGTAAACCAAACACTTTTATTGTAAATACTTTCTGTGTGCAGACACAAGAAGTCCAAGCTTGCATGGACAAGAGGTGTTTTGAGGAAGCGGTCAGACTCCGAGGAAAGTAAGGAAACATACATGACTAGATCTTTGGTGCCGTTATCATATCATGTATTTTTGTACACTGTGTTATGCTTTTTGTTGTTTTATGTAGGTAATGATCATGACATGACGATATAATGGTATTATATACTAATGGAGCTAAGGCCAAATTTTGCGAACAGTATATTCTCAGAAACTGCTGAATAAAAAAATATGAAACTTTGCCAGTAACCATAACTTGAAAGGTAGTGTTGCACTATTGTATTTTCATTAAGTCCAAATGTGTAAGAAGAAAGCCCATTTTAAGTTAAATAATAATGAACAGAAGAAGAAGAATCGTAATAATATTGACAATGATATGTGAGGCGTGCTGACAAGATGAGTTACTTCTCGGAATCGAGACCTATGGAAATAAATGTGTCACGCTTAAAGATTAAGTTTTTACAATTTATAAGTATGAAATAATAAAAGGGTTATTATACTTAAAGAACATGGCATCCATAAAAAAAACCTACAAATTTGTGACCCCAGTGTTGATTTTTGGCCAGTATCTCCATTATTTTGTGGATTGCGAGAAGTAACTCATTTTGTCAGCACGTCTCACATATAGTAATAATAATGATTAAGAATGCTAATCCCTTCTTTTTTTTTGTATGTTACTCTCAAGTAGCACATCTAATCATCTGTACTTATGTGACCTATTTGTGTTGCAAGTATGGTAAAACTCTTACTTTAATCTTCGGCACTTGTATGATCAATTTGCTAAGAGCCATAAGTTATTTGTATTATTTGTACTGTAAAACTCATAATAGACAGTTCTAATCTTCAGCACTTGCATGACATATTTGTGTCTCAGGTGCTGTAAAACACTTATTGAACAGTTCTAATCTTTGCCACCTCTTGACCTATTAATGATGTACTGTAAAACTCTAACTAAACAGTTTTAATCTTCGGCACTTCTATGACGTGTTTGTGTTGCAAATGCCTTAAATCTCTTGCATAGGTGGTGGGTGGATGCTCTGGTATGGTTTGCTCCTTCTTTCCTGTCAAACATCTATTGTCCTGTTCTCTCCTCCTTCTTTTTTGTGCTTGTTTCTCTCTTGTAACATCTCTAATCTTTGGCACTTTTTTTTATATGACCTTATTGTGTTGCAAGTGCCGTAAAACTCTCACTCTATCCTTCAGCACTTCTATGACCAGTTTGTATTATATGAGCCCTAAGCTGTTTGTGTTGTATGTGCCGAACAGTTGTAATCTTCGGCACTGAAATACATATGATCTACTAGTATTGCAAGTGCTATAAATCTCTTACAAAAAGTAAATGTGTCACCACGTGGTGGAATCAGGCGCTCGTCAGTTTTTGGGCATAAGGGGTTATCGGTATCATCTTAAAGCCTGTTCATTTGCCTTCCTTTTGGTGGAAAAATATCTGTCTATATTGAATAGAAGTCGAAATACCTGAGATTGAAGGAGGTTAGCATTGGTTGGTTTCAGAGGTAAAGTTTGCGAGAAAATGGCCGCCAAAGTTTGGTAACTTCCATAGCCAGAGAGTTTCTGGAAACTGAAAATTTAAAATTGTTGTGCCTTTAATCAATGTTTTTCAGTAAACTCCACACAAAAATGTCTTTTCAATAGAAATAAAAGTTGTTGAGCCACAAAGAGAAGATTGGGAAAAAAATTACCCATCAGCCTAAAAAACATGCCGATTTCTTTGATTTCATTATTTTGACGAGTGCTTGATTTCCCCATGATACCTCACAAATAAAACTACTAAAAGCTTTTTTTTTGTGTTTGTTTGTGCGTGTGTCCAGGAGCTTCCAGAACAATCTGAACGTGTACCGGCTGTTGAGTAAACTGAGGCCACCGTCTCTACAGCACAAGCCGGAGGCTCATGAGGACAAGGTGAGGCGGGGATGTGTGGGAGGTTGACATGTGAGGGGGGAATGTGTGGGAGGCTGTTTGTGTGAGGGGGGGATGTGTGAGGGCGTGTGTGTGTGAGGGGATGTGTGGGAAGCTGTGTGTGTGAGGGGATGTGTCCACAGTAGGGGTGCATCTACTACACCCACCCTCTTTGTCTTGCCGCCTCATTTATGTCTGTTGTCTGTGTGTGATTATCTCATAAATGCTTTGACTGATTAGGGTTTGCGGAATAATTTGAATGTCCCCCATCTACAGTTCTTTTAGGAACCCCTTTTTGTTTTTGCTAATGGTATTTAGAGTGGTGGATTTACATTTGTGTGTTATTTAGAAGGTCATGTTGGTAGATCCTACTTCTTTTTTTCCCCTCTGTAGTTTCTGTCTGTCCGTCTTACCCTTTCACTGCTCTAAATGACCAGTAGTTTACTAATGTGTGCATCTCTTTACTTGAACAAACAAATCAACACTTGTTTCCTTACATTTTAGTTAATCGTTATTGTCTAGTTTTATCTATTTTTTTGTTTCAAAATAACTTAACAGTTGTCAATTTACTGGACTCTAAAAATGTTGCAATTTAAGCTACTTCTGTAAAAAGGATTTTGTTTGGAGCTTTCTCCTTTCTCATATGTGAGGCATCGTGGTGAAATCAGGTGCTCGTCAAAATCATGAAATCCGAGAAACCGGCATTTTTCTGCCCGTAGGAAATTTGTTTCATATTTTCTTATTTTGGCTCAACACCTTTTATATATCCATTTAAAAACACATTTGTGTATGGATTTGAGTGAAAACAATGATCAAAGTCTCTAAAAATGTAAATTTTCTGTTTCCATGGACAGTGAAGCTGTTGAAGTCACTAAGCTTTGGGGGCTATTTTCTCACTACTTGTACCTCTGACATCAGGCGACTTCCGCCTCCTTTAGAAAATATATCAACATCTTTTCAAAATACATGGGTATTTTTTTTGCAAATGCAAGACAAATATGAACACCCTAAAAGATGATGCAAATAACTCGATATGCCCCAAAAGTGACGAGTGCCTGATTCCATGGTGTTGTGACACATATGTATGTGAATCAATGGCTTGGTGGTTGTCGTGCAATGTCTTGTGCAAAAGGTAAAGTAAAGGTGATAATGATGCAATAATGAGTTGTGTAAGTGTTGCTTTCTTTGTGGTGAGCATTGTACATGTTTTACTAAACCAGGTAGATACTAGTGAGGGAACTTTGTTGATTATTTAAAAAAACAAACCCCAAAACCAGTCTTTGGTGGGTTGTCCGTCTGTGGTGATTGTCAAGTACCCCAGTACAGCTGGGTGAACAGAGAGGAAAGTAGAGGGATTAGGCTCTCGGACTCGCTACCGTAAGGTCATGAGTTCGATTCACGTAAGGGGCCTGACGTTGTGTCCTTGAGAAAGGCATTTTACACGAATTTTCCTCACTTCACTCAGGTGAGAATGGGTACCCAGCTATAGACAGCGAAAGATCTTGTCAGTTTGTTAGTGTTTGAGGGCTCGATCGACAGCTTGCACTGTATGCTCCCGGGAAAGCCGAAAATGTTTTCTGAGAGTAAAAGGTTCTGCCGGGGCAACAATATAGTGTAAAGTGCATAGAACATGCTGTCGAGCAGGGATATGTGCTATACAAATGCTGTTAATGTATAATTTTAAAATATATGACACCCTGCTCTGTAGAGCTGGAAATCCAACTCACAACTTTGGATTGCGAGGCTGACACCTTGCCACTTGAAAACCATGCCCCTTACATTACAGAAGAGTTTATTATGATTCTCCAGTACAAAATTCTGCTGTTGATATATTCACATTATCGCTAAAATTATTATTTTGTATTGAGTATTCATTTCAATTTTTTTTAAAAATGTTTTATAGCAGGTTATTATTATAGGTGTAAGGTAGCCAGACTGAAAAGTCTTATTGCAATAGATTTCATTTATGATGATCAAGCTGTGATTTATGAAACTTTTTAGTTCTGGATCTTGACTTGCCATTTGAGTCCTGCCCATGTGCCGCTTGTCTAAGTTGCCCTTGTGTTTCTTTTAAAGAAGAAAAGATGGGTGCATGGGCCGGTATGATCATTTTGATTATTCTCGTTTCCTTTTTCCCTCTGTATTCCAACCTTTCCGCTGATCGCTTCTAGCAGTCCATACACTGCAATAAAGATCTGTGGGATTGTTTTGGGGAATTTAAAAAATTTTTTTTCCTTCCTGCGAAGACATGCCTGAGCTTCCTCTGAGCTGTCTGGGCTCACCATCCATGTACTCCCCTTCTGCCGTTTGTTGCTCCCCCCAAAGCCAAAGCCTCACTCTGACTTTCCACCTAGACCTTTTTTGTACTCTATCACAATGTATAAACGGATGATCTTGTATGGGTTGTCCTGCCGGTCTGAGCTGACCGTGGATCCGTTGTAGTGGCACCTCTTGCATATATAAATATATGATGTATCCGTTGCTGGCATGAGCAATGCAAATTTAATTTATGCATCCCTCTGCTGGGCCGCCATGACGTGTGTTTTGTGGATGATCTAAACAGTTTTTTGTTGGGTTTTTTTATGTGAGGCTGTGTGGTGAAACTTGGTGCTTGTCAAAATAATTAAAGCGAAGAAACTGTCATTTTTCCGCAGGTTTGGGAATTTTTGTAGAATTTTCGTTTTTGGGCTCAACGCCTTTCATACCCTTTAAAGAACACTTTTCTGTGTAGATTTTACTGAAAAACGTTGATTAAAGGCACACAAAATTCAATTGGGGGGGGAGGGAGGGAGAGGGATAGAGTGGATGGGGTGTCTGCACTCAATTACCAAGCGGCCATGAGGGATGCTGTCAGCGTCTGAATCTGCTCCTCTGTCCCTGCCTTCACTCTCTTTGAATGCAGCCTGGCTGATAATAATACTGTTAGCAAGCTGTCTGACTGAGTTGAAGGTTGAGAATGCCTCATATGTTATGCTGCATTTTCTGTACGGATGTTAATTATGAAGTCAAATTAAACATTTTGATGATGCTCTTTGCATGCCCACAGAAAACCGTAAGAACAAATTATTTTAATTTCAATCTGCATGGAATTTCTGCAGTGATTTTTAAATTTACTGGTGGAGGCATGATTACTAACATATTCTGTTTATTTATATATATTGTAATATGTAATCATATATTCTTATAAAATTCCAATTTACAGTGTCTGTTGCTTTTTAATAAATTGTACGGCCATATTTCACTTTGCTGTAGTGCTGTCTCTTTTGCACAGCATAGATACTGCTGTCAAATTTTTCCTCCTCGGCGATGATGTGTCTTTTCACCTATTATCCCTTTCTTCATGATTATCTGCTGCTTTGTTGGCCATATATATCTCTGCCTACATCATGTAGAGGCTTGTGGACGTTTCATTTCTGTGGAGAAAGCGCAAATAGAGGGGGAGGGGAAGTAGATGTTTGAACTTTTCTGCTGATTGGGTTGGGTTTTTTTCTTCTGAACTGCAGTGTCAGAGCTCTCGTAAAAGTGACTTTATTTAGCCGCTCCAGCCCTTACAAAAGTTTTGCGTAAGATTTCATCGTGTTGTGCTATCTTTTTACTTTTTTTTTTAAGCTGCTGATTTTCGTGGCTATGATGACGTACAATTCGTGATTCTCGTGTACACGTAACAAAAACTGCGTATTTTTGCTTTAGTTTCTCTTCAAGATGGAGCTGCAGTGCTTCCTCTGTTCCAGTGCTTTGTGACCCGAGTGCACCGTGATTGAGTTTTTTTCCTCAGTATTCTCATGTAAATTCTTTCACTGTCACTATTTTATGCCTGAGCTGACTGAATGCAAGGACACTATTGTATAATAAATATACGTGTATATATTTCTGTTTATGAGTATATTCATGTATATTTGCACATATTTTCATATATACACACATTATTGTTTAATTGAAGTTTCAAATTATTGACTTTTCTTTAAAGATGTTAAAATTATAATAGTTCTCAGCATTTGATAATTATGATAAGGTTGATAATTGTGTGTTTTAGGTGAAGGTAGTTCTTTGTGCAAAGAAGTATCACTCAGTAAACAGCTGGGACATTGGGTCAAAATCAAAGATAGTTACCATCAGTTTTTTGGATAAATTTGTTTTGATTAACCATTTCATAATTTTTCATTTAAATCCATTAAGACATTTCCTTTGGCATTTATTCTCTTAATAGGGACCACAAAAATTTTAGTTTCCTCTTCAATTTTGGGTCTTTTAATTAACTTGATAAATGAGGGGCATGAAACATTAATGAATATTTATTGCAATATATTGTTGAAGGTAACTTATTGTGGTGGTTATCCTTTTGCTTTTTGTGTGATAGATACTATGTTAGAAATAGATAGTTTATTATATCCATGTACCGTAGGACTATTTTTGGAGTTTTCCCTGTTTCTTTACAAATGTTTTTTCGTTTGCTGGGCTACTTGTGAGTAGTGATATGTAGTAAAGAGACCTGCGAAGCCCCCCAGGGCAGTGCTACCGAGTGAAGTTGTCTTTAGACCGTTCCGAAATGGGGATGTAAACATGTTCTTATGCACAGTTGAATTGTAAATAGGCTGATTTATCAAAGTCATGCTCTTGCTGTGTCGGAACAACATAGGGGGAACTGCTGCTTTTTCTTTCCTCATCCTTACTATCGTCATTGTTCCTCTACTTCTTTTATATGTTTGTCACTCTCTTGTGACCCGCTTTTTCCAGGGTGCCTTGCGATGCAGACTTTTTGTGTTTTTTTGAGGCAAGAGAGGAGAGCAGAGTAAGCCTGATTCTCCGTTTGGACTTCTCTGTTGACATCCACCCCTTGGCGCTCATATGACCTTATGCAGTTACGAGCGCCATAAAACCTTACTGAAATAAACAAGACCTACGAACTTGTTCGGAAAAATGTAAATCTTCATCTCTTCTTGTGAGTGTGGCACTGCCTGTGGGTTCAGCTTCCTTCGGGTGCTATAACGGATGGTTGGTGGGTGCTTGAATGTGGTCTGCCTATTGTCCTTTGTTTCTGTGTTATTGTTGTACTAACCTGCTTCGTTGACTTCTTCTGTGGATGATTGGTGGGTGCTCTGGTGTGGTTTTCTCCTTCTTTGCTATCGAACCTATCAAACATCTATCGTCCTTATCTCTTACTCCTTCTTTTTTTGTGCATATTACTCTCTTGTTACTCATCTATTCTTCGGCACTTAAATTACCTTATTTCGTTGCATGTTCCGTAAAACCTCTTACGAAAACTGAAACAACTTCTTCTCTTTTCCACTATTGTTTTTAATCTCTGTCTTTGTTCTTTTCCAACACACGCTCTACGACCTCTATTGTATCTGATCAAAATGAAACCAAGTCTGTTTCTGGTGAAATGTGGCTGTTGTCAGGCTGACTTATAGAGAAGATAAGATAAAAATATTTTTTTTGTCCAGATGCTGGCACATTGGTTTGGTTTTTCACACACACCCACACACGCTCACACACTTATTACACACACACACACACACACACTTCACACACACGCACGCACGCGCGCGCGCGCGCACACACACACACACACACACACACGCACACGCGCTCACACACTTCACACACACACACACACACACACGCTTCACACACACACGCTTCACACACATACACATGCACACACACACACACACACACACACACACACACACACACACAAACACACACACACACAAAAAAGGGTATTGCTAGTACAGAAATAAGTTGCTTTCCCCTCATGCCAAAGTGCCTGTTTCAATACTTGGTTTTTGTTCATGCTGGCTGATGGAAGTGGAAAAAGGATACGCCTGTCATGGTCTGTTTCCCTCACAAAATTCTTTCAAATTCAACAGTACCGAAAGGGGATAATACTCCGATCCGTAGAGAAAATTTTGTTTTGCAAATAGTGTTGTTTCAGAGTCGGAAGACTCAAGTGTTTTAACTGGAAAGTTTTTCAAAATTGTTTTATTTGTTGTTTTTTTAATGTAGTTTGGCCTTCATTTTGAAGTTATCTTTTAATTTCTTCCTCTAAAAAATGAACAAACAAGCAAAACAGGCATGCCTCTTACTTAGCTTCACTTTCACTATGTTCGTTTTAGCTAGGCTACCACATTTGAAAGTTAGTTGAGGAAGAGTCTATAATCTATGGTTTCTTTCAGACCTGGGATGCATGCTTTAAGTGGAGTATACTAACCAATAGCATACATGTGTGGTGTGGTTTTGTGGTTTTGTCCACATTGTGTCTTGGATCCTCTGTATGTGCCCTGACTAACTCATCCACAAGATGTAAAACTGCACTCTTGAGGAGAGGGGGCGGGGGTGTCCTTCACACAGACTATGTTGACTATGGCTGCAGGCCCGTTGACATGTTTTGTCATCTATCGTCATGTCCCTTGCCTCATCTCTAGCATTTCTTGGAGATTCTTGGAGTTTCATAAAGTTTGTTGGTGTAGGAAGGCTTGAATTTTGATGTGAACTTTTTATATGATTTAGATATGTGGTTGTGGTGATTCCCATGATGAATGTCCCTGCTGAAAGTCTCAGGTGTAAGTCACAGGTGTAAGTCACAGGTGATAGTTTGGTGAAAGTCATCAGTGAAAGTTACTGATGAAAGTCACTGACAGAATCGCTGGCTTAAGTCGCTGCTGTAGTTCAGTGGCCCATGCAGTGAATTACAGTTGAGATGCCCAAGAATTTAATATCTTTCACTGGTGCCATGTAAATGAAAACAATATAGGTCCAATCCCACTCCTACGTGATGTTTGAAAGGAGGAAAAACTTGATCAGTGACGTCTGTTTCAAATCTTGGCGCATGAAGAATACAAAGAAGTGTCGGTTAGTCCCTGGGAGTTTTTCCCCCTGCTGCCCATCACATTGATTCTGCCTTTCTCTCTCTTTTAATTAGAACATTGTCTTCTTCTTCTCGATCGCATCACACTTGAAGTCTGGTATCTGTCATAAATTGGGCTGTCCTGCTCAATTCATCTGTGGGCCCGTATAGCTTCTTAAATCATTGTAAATATATCTTCTCCTTGGTCACTTTTAAAGATGTAATATCGAACCTGCTCTATCGCCCACCTGATTAATTTTAATTTTTGTTCACATTGCAAGGACTCTCTGTAAGACGTCCACCTGTCTGAGACAGCCACTTGTCTCCTCTGCAATGGGTGGCTGTACTAGACAGCTGCGACCGTATTCCGAATCAACAATACTTGTGTGTCACATTTCCAAATAATCTCATTATCTCTCACAGAGGTGAAAGTTCAGCTAGCTAAACCTCACTTTCAGCTTACCCTCACAATTGTCTTCACGCTTCCATTTTCTTTCTGTTGCCTTTGTAGATCAGGCCCTATTTTACTAACATTCACTTAGGGAAAAACACTATTATTGATTGTTATTGTACTACTCTAAGTTAATTTTGTCAATGTCAGTTGAACCATTTCATAATTTCCATCAATGTTGGTTTGACTAGATAAAAATAATGTGCATTGCACATCAATATCAATAAGTTTTTGAACATTTGTTTTAAGCGTTTAAACCTGTTTTGTTTTTGAATTGTTACCAAGCTTATATTCTTTCCAAAGTAAATAAACATATTAATGGTTTGGTTTCTTTAAATTGGGTGGGTGGTTGGAGAGAGAGTTCTGAGCAACTGGTAAGTCTTTCTGTCATTCTGTAGTTTCTCACTCTCTGTCATACTTTTTCCTCCATCACCTAATGACCATAAGCGAGTCAGAATGCTTTTCTTTATTCCAATATTTTAATGCCTTGTTAGTCTCTTGCTCAAGGTGGCATCATTTTTATGAAAAGCCACACAGCAAAATGTGTGTTGGTTGCAGTGTTGGCGGGTGCTCTGGTGTGGTTTGCTCCTTCTTCCCTATCAAATACATCCATTGTCCCTTATCTCTCCCACTTTTCTTTTTGTGTTACACTCTAGTAACACCTCTAATATGGCATTTGTATGACTGATTTGTTTCACAAGTGACGTAAAATTCTTACCAAAACCAAAAAGTGTTTTGTGTTCTGTTTTGCCATCTCTTACTAAACTTTGCTGAATGAGAATGGTAGGAGGATCTTATGTGATGAAATATTTTTGTATTGACATGCTCCCTGTACGACTTTTTTCGGGATCTGCTTCCTGGTGCTAGGGATGGTTAGTGGGTGCTGTGTTGTTGTCTGCCCTGTCTGTTTCTTTTCTATTCTTCTTCTCGGTTCCTTATTGTAAAATGTACCTGTTTTAGTAAAAAGTTAAGTGGTTGATGGGTGCTCTGGTTTGGTTTGCTCCTTCTTTCCTATAAAACATCTGTCGTCCTCAGCTCCCATCCATCTTTTTGTATATTTCTCTCTGGAAATACCTCTCATCTTCAGTATGCCCGTATGACCTATTTGTGTTGCAAGTGCCAGTTACCTATTACTAAACTGAACTCAAACTTAAGTGCAACTAAAATTAAATCAAACTTAAGTGCAAAGTGTGCTTACATGCAGCATAGTTGTAATTGCTAAGGCTAAAACAGTGCCTAGACTCAGGCAGCTGGTGTGTCTATAAGTAAATTAATTATTTATGGATAACGTTATATACGGGTGCTCTAGTGTGGTCTGCTCCTTCTTTCCAATCAAACATCTATGTTCCATATGTCTCTTCCTTCTTTTGTGTGTTTGTTACTCTCTTGTAACACCTGTAATCTTCAGCATTCATATGAACTTATTGTGTTATAAGTGCTGTAAAACTCTAACTAATACTAAAAGTGTGCTTACATGCAGCATAGTAGTGATTGCTAAGGCTAAAACAGTGCCTAGACACAGGTGGCTAGTGTGTCTATAAGTAAATTAACTATTTATGGATAATGTTGTGAACCCAAACTTTATCTCAGCCTCTAATTTTTCTCTCATCCCCCCCCCCCCCCCTCCCCCTTTGTCCCCTCTGACGACCAGGCTCATCGTGTGCTGGCGGTGATGAACATCGGAGCCCCGGCGTGCGGCATGAATGCTGCGGTCCGTTCGTTTGTGCGTATCAGTTTGACCAAAGGCTTCAAGGTCTTGGGAATCCACGAAAGTTTCGATGGCATGGTCAAGGGTGAGTAGGGGATATTTCTTGGGGGGGGGGGGGGGGGGGGGGAGAGCATGTGGAGATGTCTAGACAGCTAGGGGATGAAATCTACAAGCTTATACTGAAATGTGAGGGCAGGGTGGTGTTGCTGTCTCAAAATGAGCAATTTGAAGGCAAAGCTATTGTAAGCCATTTATTTTAGTGATCTTGTGTATGCATCCAAAGAGTGGTTTCTAAATATAGGGCCCAAAGAAAAACTTTTTTATTCCTGGGTCAAGATTTTTTTGAAAACATATTTTTGTTTGGTCTCTGGCCTTCAGAAGTACCATGCAAAGTTTTGTGGGCCGAGGTAAATTCATCAATGAGCTTGAATCTTTTTAACGAGGTCAGACAAGTGAAAGAGCTATAGTTGGCGAATGGTTCAGTCGTTTGTCGGGTCTCCTGTGCTGGCGATTAAAAGTCACAAGTGTTAGATTCTGTTTCTTTTCTTTCCGTCTGTAATTTCTATCTGTCTCTCTTACTTTTTTTCCCCTAAACTAAATAACCATTACTGTGTCTATGTGCTTCTCTATACTCAAATAATCGTTAATTCTATCTTTGTGTCTTACTTTTTTGGGTGCTTCTTTTTATTCAAACGCACAGTTCTGTCTGCTTGTCTTACTTTTTAAAAAATCTTTCTCTTTACCCAAACAATCATTTCTGTTTGTTTGTCTTACTTGTATTTGCTTCTCTTTACTAAAACCAACATTTCTGTCTGTAGGTGATGTAGCCTTCATGAACTGGAGCCAGGTGCAAGGCTGGGCTGGCAAGGGAGGCTCCTTCCTCGGTACAAAGAAGTATGTGTTTCTGTTTTAATATGTCAAATGGCGGGTTTCTGACGGGTTGCTCTTTTTTTTTTCCCTGTCAAGTATCTGTCCTCTTGATCTCACTATCCTTCTGTTTTTTTAATTTATTGCACTCTTGTATCACCTCTATTCTTCGGCACTTTTATCACCTTATTATGTTGCAAGTGATGTAAAATTCTTTATTAAAACTAATCTTCATCAAATGCTAGATCTGCAACAAACATTGACCGTCTTAGTCCACCTTTTCTTTCTTTCTTGGGATGCTCTAAAAATACCTTCTATATTATCCTTGTCTTTTCCCGTCGCCCATCTGTTTATGCTTTTCAAGTAATTTGTTATGGATTCCCCATTTGTTCTGGGTCTACTCCCTACCTTGTTTGCCTTCTATCTTACCTGTGAGCGGTAAATGTTCACGGCCTTTTGGTAGATTCAAGTGTCCCAGAAACTGCTTTCATCAATTCTTAATTGTTTTTATTAGTAAACTGCCCATGTAGGCTTCTTTCAGTACTGGCTCGTACAGCATCATGTCTTTTTATTCCGTATCGTTCCCTGTGGTTCCCTACTATGGATTGCACTGATAAAGGATTCTACCCTGGTAGAAGAACTCCCCTCTGACATCACCTTCCACTCATCCAAAAGTTTTTTCCTTTGTACAGGCAGCTGGCTAATGATGTGGGTGTTGGCAAAATTGCTCTGAAGTTCTCTGAATACAAAATTGTTGGCATGATGATCGTTGGAGGCTTTGAGGTGAGAATTACTGTCTCTACTGTAGATATTTGGATTTGATTTAACATTCTTTCTAAAGACATTATGATAGACGTTAAATTCTCTCTCTCTCTCTCTAGGCATTTATGGTTGACATATTCTCTCTCGTCCTTATCTCTCCTCCTTTTTTCTGTTTGTTACACTCTTGTAAGGTACATTAAGTAGGTACAGTTGTTAAAATAATGAAGCAATGTTTTTTTTCTCTCTTCTGAAACATTTTGCTTCCTGGGTTTTTTAAGAACATTTTCGTCATGATGCGGTGGATTCAGGCTCTTGTCCGTTTTTGGGCATATGGAGTTGTTGGTATCATCTGAAAAGTTATTCATTTGCCTTGCTTTCGCTATGAAAAATATCCCTTTTGTCATGAATAGAAGTCAAGATATTTGCGATTGAAGGAGTTGGGGTCGTCTGGTTTCAGAAGTAAAATTTGGGAGAAAATGGCCGCCAAAGTGTGGTGACTTCCGTGGATTTAGAGTCCTTGGAAACTGCAAATTTACATTTTTTTGTGCCATTAATCAATTTTTTTTCTCCACAAAATCCACACATTAAAGTGTTTTTGAATGAACATACGAAGTGTTAAGCCAAAAAAAAAAAAAAAAATTTAAATGATCCAAACCGACCGAAAAATGCTGATTTCTCAGATTTCATTTATTTTGATAAGCCCCTGATCTTACCATGATGTCTTACATTTGAATAATTTTGTAATGATGACCTTTTTGTGTTGCAAGTGCTGTAAAACTCTTGCACAATCAAACCACCTGAAGCACGCTTGTGTGATATGTGTGTGTGGTTTCTCCTCCCCAGGCCTTCCACAGCGCCTACCAGCTGGCGGTGGAGAGAGAGAACTACCCGTCCCTCAACGTGCCCATCGTGGTGGTGCCATGCACCATCAGCAACAACATCCCCGGCTCCGACTTCTCCCTGGGTGCGGACACCGCCCTCAACGAGATCACGGATGTGAGTTTTGTTAGGTGGTGTAGAGTTGGAATAGTAGATTCTCTCTTTCTCTCTCTCTCTCTCTCTCACTCTCTCTGTGTCTTTTTTTTTCTCTCTCTCTCACTCTGTTTCTCTCTCTCTCTCTCACTGATGTTAGTTGTTTTTTGTTGTTGTTGTTTTTTCTGTCCCGTGTCCTGGTTTTGGTGCTGATATTTGTAGGTTACGTAAAAATGTATTGACATGGTGCAAGTTGTTAAGTTTCAAGAAAAACACAACAAGAAATAGAGGAATTGTTTAGTCGGTGATGATGATGGCGATGGTAACGATGATGATGCTCTAATGTTGAAAATAATGAGTTATGTTAGGTGGTGATGTCTTCAGGCCCTTTGCCATCGCATTTAGAAGGGCAAGTGTCTCTCGTCGTCAACAGGTTACGGTGTTAGCCTCTCTGGCTTTCACTCAATAGGCTCTGGGTGCTCCCTGGGCCATACTCTACTTTATTAGTATTTTTTATATCTGTGCAAGGTTATATAATGCTTGTTTACATATAGTGTCTTGTTCTTTTTGTATGTTTGTACCTGTTGCTATATGAGCGGCTGGATGGAGGCTTTCCAGAGACACCCTGTGGGTGGTTGGTGGGTGTTCTGGTGTGGTTTGCTTCTTTTTTCCTATCAAACATCTATCGTCCTTATCTCCCCTTCTTCTTTTTTATCTTTGTTCCAATCTTCTGGCGCTCAAATGACCTTATGCAGTTGCGAGCGCCATAAAACCTCTACAAAATACTAAAGAGAGAGCCATACTTTACTTTATCTATATTTGCTATATCTATGAAAGGCACATAGTAATTGTAGGAGTTTTTTTTTCTAATTTTTGTTTTTTTGTTTTTTGTTTTCCCTACTGCCTGTTCCGCTGCTCAGATCTGTGACCGCATCAAGCAGTCAGCCACTGGAACCAAGAGACGTGTCTTTGTGGCGGAGACGATGGGAGGCTACTGCGGCTATTTGGCCACCTTGTCCGGCCTGGCTAGCGGCGCTGATGCAGCGTATATCTACGAGGAGAAGTTCAATGTCCTTGACCTCAAGGTTAGCAGTCGGGAGTTTGTGGAGAGGCTTCCCGAGAATTTTTATGCCTGGCATGGAAAACCTGGCTTTCTGTAAATGGCTGCCAGCTTGGGTTTTGGTGTTTCTTTTTAGGGTTTTTTTTTTGGCGGAGGGGTTGTTTTATTTTATTTCATTTTATTTTTATTTTTTTGAGGGGGGAGGGGGGTGGTGTTGGCAAAGAGTTTTCATTTTAGTGCTGTAATGATCAAGACACTGGGGAAATTGGTCACTGATCACTTGTAAAGTGTTTTCTTTTAAAGATTTTTAAAAATATGGGAGTTATGAACCCATAATGCATCAATGCTTTGAAGAAGGCAGTCTTTTTGCAGGGGATATAATACCATAATATATACGTGTCATAGTGGAAACTGTCTTAACAACCAATGGACATTTCCACAGCAAGACGTGGAGCACTTGAAGGACAAGATCCAGACGGCTGGCGTGCAGAGAGGATTGGTGCTCAGGTCAGCAGGCTCTTCTCCTCACATGAATCCGGGGGGGGGGGGGGGGGGGGAGCCATACTTTACTTTGTGATAACTTTATCTATATTTGCTTTATCTATGCAAGACGCATAGTAATTGTAGATTTGGTTGGGTTTTTTTTTAAATTTTGTTTTTTGTTTTCCCCACTGCCTGTTCCGCTGCTCAGATCTTTTTTATCGATATTGTTATAATCGGTATTATTGTTATTATTATTATTATTATTATTATTATTATCCTTATAAGTTAGGCAGCATGGTGAAATCAGGCGCTCGTCAAAATTATGAAAGTAAAGAAACTGGCATTTTTTCGGAGGTTCAGGAATTTTTGTCTAATGTTTTTTGGCTGAACACCCTTCATGCCTGTTAAAGAACACATTTCTGTGTGAATTTTACTGATAACGTTGATTAAAGGCATAAAAGATGTCAATTATAAATTTCCATGCACTCTCAAGCTAAGGAAATAACTAAACTTTGGCGGCCAATATCTCGACTTGTATCCAAGATAAATGGATATTTTTTTCATCAAAAGCAAGGCAAATGTACAGGTTTTAAGATGTTACCTATAACTCCATATGCCCCAAAATTGACGAGCGCCTGAATTGTTGTTGTTATTGTTATTATATTACTATTATTGTTATTATATTATTACTGTTGCTATTATTATAATTATCATTATTATTATTATTTTCCTTTTCCTGTGTATTTGTTTCTCCGGCCTGCCCCTTCCAGGAATGAGCAGGCAAACCTGAACTACACCACCGACTTCATCAACCGGCTGTTCTCGGAGGAGGGCTACCCCGTGTTCACCACCCGCATGAACGTCCTGGGGCACATGCAGCAGGGAGGCTACCCCTCGCCCTTCGACAGAAACTACGGCACCAAGATGGCCGCCAAGGGTGTGGAGTGGCTCGCGGAAATGGTGGAGTTTTACACGGATGAGAAAGGTATACTGTTGCTGATGTGAAAGATGTTTTGTGTTGGTGGAGTTTGGGGTCTCTCTCTTTTTTTTTTTTTAGATGTGGGGGAGGGGTTGTACTTTGAGATCTTATTGGGATAAATTAGGCGAGATAAATGTGTTGCATTATTATTTCATAAAATTTCCGTTACCATTATTATTATTATACTATAGTGTTTTTGTTATAACTTATGTTGTTTTTATTGTGTTTTTACATTTCCATATTTTTACCTTTGGAGGGTGCTCTGGTGTGGTTTGCTCCTTCTTTCCTATCAAACTGTCTATCATCTTGGTCTCTCCTCCTTTTTTTTGCGTTTGTTACTCTCTTGTTACACCTCTAATCTTCGTCATTCGTATGACCTTATTGTGTTGCATGTGCCGTAAAACTCTAACTAAAACAAACTGTGTTGATTGGGAGGGTGTGCAGTAAAACATTTACTTACTTATTTACTTACTTATTTACTTACTTACTCTCTCCCTACACCGTCGGGTGCATAAGGCAGAGAGCAGTCGATGCCACGCTTGTCTGTCCCTGGCCAAACATTTACCAAACTATAAAGAATGTTCTAAATTGTGTCGATTGTTGGATGGGGTGTGTACTTGTGTGTTTGTGTGTGTGTGTGTTTGTAAAAACACTTACGGTTTAAAAAAACCACCAAAATCATAGTACCAAACCTCTCTATGCCCCGTGCCAGGTCGCGTGTACACCGGTCCTGAGGAGACAGTGGTCCTGCTGGGCATGATGAAGAGACACTTGACCTTCAGCCCCGTGGAGGAGTTGGCCAAGATCACAGATTTCGAGTGAGTTACACCGGAGGCAGGAATTTTTTATTTTTAAATTTTTTTTATGAACGCAGGGCTGCCACCCCAGGACAGTGCTACTGACTGAAGTTGCCTTTGGACCATTCCCAAGGGGGGGGGGGAAGGATATTAGAATGTTCTTATGCACATTTGAATTGTAAATGGGCCGATTTTTTCAATGTCATGTTCATACTGTGCCGGAACAACATAGGGGGAACTGATGCTTTTTCTTTCCTCATCCTTATTATGGTAATTTTTCCTGTACTTCTTTTGTATGTTTGTCACTCTCCTGTGAACTGCTATTTCCGGGGTGCCGTGATAGTCGAAGCAGACTTTGTACTGTTGAGGCTAGAAAGGTGAGCAGAGTAAGACTGACTCCCCGTTTGGACTTTTCTGTTGACATCCACCCCTTGGCGCTCAAATGACCTTATGCAGTTGTGAGCGCCATAAAACCTTCCTAAAACAAGAACTGCCAACCACTATGTAAAAAAAACATATTTAATAATTTTTTGAAGGTCTGAGCATGGCAGTCGGTTTTCATATTGGAAAATTCACATTCTCTGTTTCTAGTGTTGCTCATTACAAACTTGCTGATGCTGTAGAAAAAATAATGGAAGTTCAAGGTTGGGCTTTCAGATAGTGATGAGAACGAAGTCCATAAGTCAATTCGAGAGATTTTTTGCTGCTTGTTCACTTTAACTTGAATTTATTGAATATGGAAAAGTGTTTGTGAAGGGTTTGGAGACATGGTTATAGATGACAGATCTTTGGTGACATTTGACAGTTGATAAATATGAGATGATAGCTGATGGATGATAGATGACATAAGACAGATGATAGATAACGAATGATAGGTGACATATCGCAGATGATATATGGCTGATGATTGATGATAGACAATAGATGACTGATGATATTTGACAGATTGGTGATAGATAACAAATGAGAGATGATATGTGACAGATCATTGATAACATACAACAGACGATAGATGACACAGGATAGATGACAGATGACATGTGACAGATGATAGAAGATATATGATAGATGACAGATGATATACGACAGATGATAGATGACAGATGATATACGACAGATGGTAGATGACAGATGATAGATTACCCCCAGTGGGTCGGGGGGATATAAATAGACCCACTGCTTCGTCTGCAGAAGGTGCAACCCCTTCAAAGGCGAGGTGTCGCACTCGGA